CATTTATGAAGCCTTTTTTGTTGTTGAAATTAGCCCATTTGAAGAGAAATACACCTAAATCATGTCTCATTTTTCGTGACATTTCTGAAGTTCAATGACAATTCTCCTGGCAGATGGGTGGAAACAGAGCATGGAGTGGAGTATATACTCAAGGGGTGACATTAAAAAGCGATGTGTACGTGTGAAGGCAGGGAGGAGAGAGAAGAAGGAAAGAGACAAAGAATGAATGCAAGGCAGAGACAGACGTCAACAAAGACATAGAGACAGGTGTGATAGTAAGTCTATGGAAACAGGAAACCTCCCACAAGTTCATTATTATATAATTACGGTTATTATTAAATTATGAGTTTATTATTATCCAAGCAAAATCTGTCATCTTTAACACATTTGTTGTTGTTTCACAGACAGATTGTTTAATGAATAATTCACCTGCTCAGTCTTGATGTATCTGCCGTGTAAGCTGCATTGTTTATTCGTTATCTTATTGTCTCCTACATATCAGTGTTGTTGTTGTTTGTTATTGTGCTTGTGTGTTGATGATCAATAGCCTTTGTGGCATCATTTTGAAAACTGGCAGAAATAAAAACGTTGTTCAATATTATTATTATTATTTAGCTAGTTACACAAATAGAAAATGAGCTGTTATAAGCAAAATTATGTCTCTAAAAAATTCGAAATGTAATACGCCAAAACAAAAAACAGACCTTAAAATATGTCCTGAAACATAAAAACAGGGATCAAGAAAAGGAATCAATATAAGATAACCAAAAGCCAATAAGTGGTTGTGATGAAACTGTGATTTGTGGAGAAAGATCATGAGACAGAAAGTGAAAAGGTGAGCGGGAAGGGAGACGCAGCGGCAGAAAGCAACAGAAGTGACAGACAGTTGTGTTTACGGCATGGTACAGGCGCAGGGTGTGACCAGCAGCAGGAGGAACGCTCAGGAGAGTCCTGCAGCAGCGGAGGTGCCCGGCCAGGGAATAGCCAGCTAACTGCCCTGCTAATTACTGTCGATTTCCTCTCCATACTGTACTGCGTGACAGGCTGGAGTCTGATCCTCCAGGAAGTCCTTCACCATGGTTGTCCTCACACCAGTTATTCTGCCATCACTTATTTGCTGATAAGTTTGTATACTTGGTGGTGCACTGGGTTTAAAAAGCAAGCCACGTATTGCTTGTGGAGCATTCAAAGATGGTATTCTTGTAAACATTATCTGAAACAGCTTTTTTTTGTATCTGTTTTACACAGACTTCCAAAGAAACACATTTACGTCTAATAAATACACCTATTTCTTCTGACATGAGCTTCATGGGGCTGACCGCACAGTGTGCTCAGTTACTCCCCGTTGTGACAAAGCTGGGTTTGTGTGGCATCCCAAATTACAAGAAGTAATACCTGAAGCCCTGGGGGTTGTCAGCAAGCTTTTCAGTGAGCATCAACAATAAACAAAGTGACAGCAAAGAGGAACAATGCTGCATTTCAGCACAGCAACAGCACATGTTGCTAGGAAGGTAAGAAATGGTGACAAAAAACTTCAAATGGTTTGATTCCATCCATGTTTTCATTTTTAGAACTGACTGTGGTCCAACTTTCTCTTGAAAAGCAGACATCATATATAATACTACACAAAGAATAATTGAGTGAATGACCTGATGTGCTTCAAAAAGACACATCGCTGGAATAAAAATGATTCCAGAGGCTGTATCACAGAAAAGTATCCTCATAAGAAGAATAACATGACAGAGAGAACGGACATCATGAAGATCACACTGCGCCAAACATCTGAGGTGGGCGTCAAACCTACTGTTTACCAAGGAAGACAAAATCAATGCCCTGCCCACTGCACCAAGAACTGCCTCTCACTTTGGACAGCAGGTCTAACCGGGTTCAGCAAACCTGTGCTCTGCCTGAAACTGTAAACTTTTGAGTGACAGAATGCTGGGGGGTTTCTCAGCTGAGCGACATTCCTTTGCAAAACAGCCACTTGTCAGCTTTGATTTGTATTCTTGGTACCGGAGTAGAGCAAGTATCAAATCTGTGCTTTTCCTTTATAAAAACGTCTATCAGTATGTCCAAATGAACTTAAGTTAAGCTACTGCTCTTAGAAATGTCTACTTTGTGGAAAAAACAACAGATCCCAGCACCCAACATGGGAAGACACACACTTTAGATTGTGTTTGATATCTTTCTGCTTGTGGTGCAGAGCCACTTTGTGTCAGCTTTAAATGTCCTCATACATTATCCCTTGCTTCTTCCTAATTCCCAATTAACTGTGTTTAATTAAATAGACAGACTCCTATTTTACTTTCCTGAGCTAAGACATAGCCTATCTGCTGACAGGAGGAGATAAGCGACAGGCTCCTGAGAGGACGGTATCTCTGCTGCCAACCAAGTGATTAGGAATGTTCCCTATTAATGTGATTTCTGTGTGATAATAAAGGGGAAGCAATTTAACTTCAACAGTGCTAACTGACGAATGAATGTGAAAACAAATGTGACAAAAACAACCGGAAACAAAGCAGACATGGTGCTGCTCATAACATCACACCTATTTTAGATATGTGTATTTTCACATCAAATGAATGAACTGCAGTTGTGAATGTATCTGATCTCTGACTCAGACTTCAAGAGTTTTGATTCACAGAGCAAAATCATAACGTACCAAGAAACCAAAACAACATCCAACATATGACATTTCAGAAAATGTCTAATTTTCAAGGTGGAAACTTTGGTAGACACTTTCTGATTTGATAAACAGGACATGCCAAGCCGAATAAACTGTACTGTTATACTTCCAACATAATTTCAACAACCTACAATAAATAGTTTGAAAAATAACCACAAGTGACAACTTCAAGTTGCTAGTACTAGTTACTCGCGTATTACATGGGGTTGTTCCTTCTTTTCAACAGACGCCATTCAATCAAAACAATCGGAAAATAAGTCAAACTCGCTAGTCATATTACTGTGTTTTTCAAGATGTATTCTCTGACAGTTCTGTAGCACCGCATAGCAATTGTTCCACAATAATTTAAAGGTGATATTGGGAGAAGAGTTGGGATAAAACGAGTTATAATGGGGTTTTAAGTCGGGAGAACAAACACAACCACAACAAGTTTTGAGTGCAGTGCCACAGCGGAGGAATACTTACCAAACACGATACTGTAAGTTAGGTAGCTCAACAACTGCTAAATGCGTGGTTTTAAGGAATCTTAATGACAAATAGACACTTCTTGATGCCTTAATTGTGTTTGTTTGTCATTTTGGTAACATTTTGGTAACATTTGTGCAGGTGTGAAACAACGTTACACGTGTCATTTGTACGATAATGGGTGTCTTGTGGCTAGCTGTCCGTTAGACGTATAAGTTTGAATTACCTTGTCGGTTGGATGTTTCCGTTACTGTCTCCGAATGATTCGTCGGTCTCCCCAGCCGACCCGTTGTCATCATCTTCAACGGTAACGTCTGCTACAATGACCGGGGGGCCAACGTTCTCCAAGCTTCTGCGCTCCATGGCTCTTGCACCATCTTCATCCCCCGAGGTCGAAGCTGAACCCCGGGTGGAGAACTGTGGCTCCCTGCCGCTTGCGGAGCCCGGAGCTTGAGAAGTCCCAAATCCGATGAGCGCGTTTAGCAATAGCAGGAGCACCAGGGAAATGCTCACGTTTCCAAAGTGAAGCCCCCTTTCCATTTGTAAGACTGGCACATTAGTGAAGTATGAGATTTACCTGCCACTGGCCTTGTAAATCTTAACATAAAAAGTGCAAAAAACAACAACCGGTAAAACTACAAACAAAACTCCGTTCTTTCTTGCAAGACGCCCTTCTCAATCTGTTCTTTAAGTAAACATAAACAGCCACTGGGACACCATGTTATTCCATTTATACTTGACACAAGTCTTGCCTTAGTAACGCTAAGTCCCGCCTTGTTTCTACACTGGGATTGGACAGTGAAATCGCTACATTCGGTAAAAAAACATGCCACCGTTTCTCATTGGGCTGTTGGCTATCAATCATGTATACTTGCATACTAAGCAAAACATGATTGCATCAGAGACCTGGCACTCAAGGAGGCGGGCTCAGAATGTTCCAGCCCCCCAAACAGTCCATTTCATTGGCTAATCAAGTGTTTGTCAAAACGACGCAGGCGCACTAGCAACGAGAGCAAAAGGTGACGCAAAACAATCCCCGATGGCGAATCCTGTGGCGGAAATGTGATTGGTGGGATGTGTCGTAGTTCGTCCAACGAGAGAGACTATAGTGATAAGCAACAGCGCTATTGGTCGACTTTACCCTCGTTGACAGAACGTAAGCGTTACATTCGACATTTCAGCTGTCATTCATAAGCAGTTGTCAAGACATCCGACATAAAAGAGCATCATGGAAAGCATCAACGTGGCTCACTGTAGAGGATGTACGTTTCCTGTTCCTGATCACGAGTTTTGTTTTCAATGTCAGATAAACAAACAGGCAGGGCTATGACTTAAAGCCTGTAAAAGCCTATGAACGTGTTAAGGAGTGCATTTTCAAAATGTAACCTCATGTAAAACTGCATTCCAGCAAAGAAGCCTGCAATATCCTGAGTTGTGATTTTATAAATAGGTATGACAGCTAGTTTCAGTTATTTTCAAAGTGTCATAAAGCATATGTACACATCGTTGCTTAATGCATGTATGATGTTTTTACACAAGTTTTATTTCTGGGTGATATAGGCTTACAATGTGAACCCAGTTTACTCTGAGTTAAGTGCAAAACACAGCTCTTGCATTTCTAGCGCCCCCAAGTGACCATAAGGAAGAACTGCACCATAAAGATGTCCTGTCAGTCGAGTTGCAGATATATTGAGTTTGCAAAGCTAAAACAAGTGGAGGTTTGACACCCAAATAAATGACGATTATGTTCAATTGTGTTGCCAAGTTGTTCCACCACATCAAGGTATTAACAGAATGATAAAAATTACATTTTCAGAGAATCATCAGAAATAAAAACAAAGAGGCATACTGTTATCATTATGTTTCTGTATTGTTTGACAAAGAAAATAGTACATTCACAGCCATATCATCATCACAGTCAATTGGTAAAGGAATAAGAGAAATGCTGGTGCAAACATATCCGACATGGTGTACAACTTGGAGCCAAACTGGGCCACAGATTATCTGTTCAGTTAATGTATCCTCAAATTCATTCACATCCATTTCACTGATGAGTAGAATTACGCCAGAATAACATTTTTGATGCCCCATACCTAAGCATAGTTCTATAAAGACACGTAGCTTTGCCTGATTACATCATGTTAAATCTCTCAGAGCAGTATATACATAAACATTGACATACAAAAATAAAGTGTAAGGCAAAAGCAGAGTGAAAAGCTGCATTTCAAAATAAAATACATCATATGGAAATGAACATGACAAATTGGCACAATTTTCAAACAAATGATGGTTGTACTGGACAGTAAAGTATTTTCATTGGAAAGACAACTTCACCATTCTATTTTTAAGAAAAGGAATGATAAGCTGCTGAATATCTTTTGAGGGAATGCGGATAGCAGTGTTTTTGAAATAAATTCAAAGTATTTTTTATTTTCAACTAAATGAAGCATTGATTCTAGATGGCCGTTAGTCCAACAACTTGATCAGCTACGTCAATAGATCTAGCGATAACGTAATACAACCGGCTGTTCTATTGCTTTGGCGTGCCAAGGCACATCAAATGTGATTTTGTTGCTATTGGTTTACATTTGAGCTCTATGATAATTATGTGTGACCATTTTATATCATAACTGCCCATCATCATTACCTCAACATGTTGCACGTCCCTCTATAGCTATATTTTACATTAAGTTGATGGCACCAGACCTCCTGTGAGCAGATGGCTGATGTAAGGCATAAGAAATGTAACGTCAGTGACATGCAGGCACAAGAAGAGCAAACAGAGTGAAGGGATGTACTGTACATGCCAGGACATTCAGCGTGTGTTTGTTTAACAGAGAGGCTGCAGACTTTACCTCTGCCGACTGAAGTGTAAATGCTGTTAGAAGTCAGACCGAACTGCAACTATTTCTCAAACATTCGTCACTCAGGAAATCAGACCATTAGTCCACGGCAGCAGTTGCTATTACACGTTTCAACAGCCAAGGAGAATAACTTCCATATAATGAGCACGTACCACTCTGACCAGTGAAATAAACACATTTTAAACATAGAGGCAGAATCTGAAACCAGCTCTGTTAAACATAACTTTAAGAACGAATATCAGGTCACATAATGGTGTTGTTTTAAGGTAAAAATGTGCATGTTATTTTACAGCCGTTTAACCTGCACAGTGGTCCAGAACTCTCAAATAAGTACAACTCCTAGAGAGGATGATGTAAACATTTTGGTGAGTACAGTTGGATGCCTAAGATGATAACACATTTTTATCACCGTCACAAATGAAATGAAATGAAACATGCCACACCAGGAGCTTCAGTTACACTAAAACACGGAAATAACGTTGAAGCTGCTGTCATTTTACAAATCATGTTCCAGAGAATAAACAGGAAGTGCATGCCTTGAAAATAAAAGAGGTGAATTCACGTTGTCCTTTGGTTGGTGGTTTTTCACCTTTTCTGTGCAGAGGTTCCCTGCCCTTTGACATCTTCTACTTATAGAGTACCCGTTCTTTGTTACATCTGTCAAACCATGTGTTGAAATGTCTGTTTAGAAGCAAGTGGCATCCACTCTAGATTCATCACCGCCTGCCTCTGCGTTATAATGTGTTTTGGTGACACTGTATTGTGTCGCTAACACGATAATTAAATAATGGAAGCTTCATAGCTGCACCACAGGGTGTCCCTAAATTACCAAAGAGCTCATTAATGTTTAGAGCTTTTTCGGTTCAAATTAGCATATTAATTACTGACATTCATTTAATGAGAGTGTAACTTTTCGATGTTGTGGGTAAGAGTTCATATTACTCTGATCTAATGAAACAAAAAGACTTCAAGGCATATCAGCTTTCTGACTGATGGCAATGCATCTACTGCATGCTAGCAGATGGCACATCGTTTGATGTAGGATTAGAAGCTTTTAAATGCAACTTTAAGAGCAGAATTACTTTAATAAGACTTATAATATAATCTCAAGGCACACCGTAGTTTCATTTTGCAGAGGTGCAATGATTCACATCAGCTCTGCAGACATCCAGTCAAACACGTTCATTACAGGAAGAGTCAATAGAAGGCCACACAAAAAACATATCATCAATAATCAGAAGCACTTGATTTGACTCATCAGGCACTTTAAAGCTCACAGTGTCAGAAGCACCGCTTGCTGGATGAGAAAGACCAAGTGTTCTGAGGGGTGTGTGTGTGTGTGTGTGTGTGTGAGAAAGTTTAGTCCAGTTCTGCAGGAGGAGCAGCTCTGTCCAAACACTGAGAGCGGCTCTAAATCATAACCACGGCACTTGTGGGTAAGTGAGGTCGTTCTAGCGGAGGGTCGACAGTGAAAGTGATCAAACCCCTCAGTTGACTGAAGGGTCTCGCACCTGCACGGTTCCATCCTCCATCCCAAAGTACGCTCGTTCCGCCATGCCGACGAAAAGCCCCGTCTCCACCACACCTGCAGAGGACACGCACACAGAGTCAAAACACAAACAACATTTCCCCCAGTCTTCCTTATGGATGCTTAGGTTGAATAGGACTTCATTCATATTAATGTCTTTGTTACAAGTCTCTTGCCAAGGAGTAGCTGCACACTTCCTGATGCGCAGTGATACTAGTGAGGTCCTAATTTGGTAAAAAGGAAATCATTCTTGCAGGAAAACTGTTCGCAACAAGGACTACTTTTACTATCTGTATTATTATTATGTTGCATTGTTGGAGAAGCCTGTGACATAAGATTTTCAACAACATAATTACTCTGTAGCTATGTTAGTTTGACAATAAAGAACCTTGAACCTTGACTGTATTTTCTTGAGTAACCAAATGTGTGTTGCCGTTTTCACCGCTTTTTGATAAAAGAGACTGCAGGTACAATATGTATTTTAAACTTTCCCTTTGATAAACCATGAGGCATCTCCTCACCTGGGATCATCTTGATCGCCGTGTTCACTTCCTTCCAGTTCTCAGCGCGCTCAAACTTCCAGTCCAGGATGAAGTTACTGTTGTCAGTGACCACAGGACCCTGAGACACAAACACACAACACAGGCACATGTTTGTTTATTTGTTTTCAATTGTAAAGTAACACCATGAAGGCTGTGAGCAAAGTTCATAAGACAGAAATGTTGTCATAAATAAGTATTCGCAGTGATTACAGTGTGACCATGACTTAGTTCAACAAGAAAACTAATATTTTGATGTTGAACAATTTATTTCTCAAGACTTGTTTCTAAAGCTGATTTTGACAAACTCTAAATCCTTCTAGAGCCTTGATAAGCAGAGCGGACACATTCCTTCACCTTATTGGCAGCTTTCCAAAGGTTTTCCAGTTAGAAAAGCATCGCTGTGTGGCCTGACTTGTCTGGAGGTGATTGTGTAACTGTGAGGCTAATGTTGATTAGATAACACGTCTGTGATCATGGAGGCCGGGACTCATTAGCACACGGATTGCTTCCAGCCTCAGCAGTCAGAAGGAATAAAGGGCCAGACACACCAATCTGACACCAAAGAACACGTCCCCGACGGACCCGACTGTTGTGTCGCCTCACGTCTCCTGCGTCTTGGCCACCAGTCGCACTGGAACACACCGCAAAGACTTCAGCCGACGGCCAAGTAGCACGTACGCACTGCGCATGCGTGAGTGGCAATAACTCTCCTTACCAGCAGGCGGCGGTAGTGTGTATTCGTCATTCAAAAGAGGCAACCGGAAGACAGACTGCGCGATAACCGAGAGAAGAAGAACAGACTGCGTGATATAAACAAACAACAAATAGCGTGTGCGTTCCATTTTCACTCTACAACGAGAAGCTCATGGGGCTTTCCCGAACCTTCTTAATAGTTTGTTTGGGTCCCTCACTTCCGTTTCGCTTCTCATGCACTGATTCGCTAAACTGAACAGCCAATCAGAGTGATTTCTTTTGCCGACGGCCTTTAGCCGACAGCCTACCGATTCAACATGTTGAATTGGCGACGGAAGGTGTCGGCACGGCCGAAAAAACACAACGGGGCGGGACACACCAATCTGAGTAGGGCGACAGGACGCTCATCGACGGCCAGACATCTATCGACGCCGAAAATCGGTCCGGTGTGTCCGGGTCTGAACACAACCATGACGAACAGGAACAGACTGTCTCCTGCTGGATGTTGTTCATTTTAAGGACTGAGGACAAAGTCAATCATTAACTGTATACTCTACTGCAGCCTGTTAAAGAGGCAGATACAGAGCATTTGTCATTTTGCTTTCAGCACAAACTTTCCTGAGGACAACACTTTCCACAGAAACCTTTCCTTAGATGTGCCCTGTGGCGGGTTTTGAGAACGAAACAAGTGTATCTTACATTCAGGGTTTCTGACAAATGCGATGAAGGCATTTCCTTCCACAAAAACATTTGCAAAGCCCATTATTTAAGCCTTTTAAAAGCATACATTCTTTGTATCCACACGTACTAGCTTGCAGTGTTTTTCTCTCCACCTTTGCCTGCACATTGCCTCATATTTTGGCACCGACCACCACTTATAGATTAGCCTGATAGTGTGAAGCCTTTGGTAGACATCAGTGTGCACATGGGAGAAAAAGGCTCCAGAGTGCTACTAGAGGTCACACACTCCACAGGTAACAGCGTTTTCTGCAAATAATCTGGTTTAGCACACACTGCAGTGATTGGACAGGCTAAGGTTCACTCCCTTGGATACCCACAAGCAAGAACCAGTGTGATAAAGATATCAGAAATATACTAAAGGACAACCTAAAGAAAAGCTGTGAGTAAAAAGAAGAAACTGGAGGTCTTTGAAGAGAGCACAATAAGTGTTGGATAAAGAAGGGACAGAGAATCGTCCACTCACCGCTTTACTGACAGCCATCCGCAAGTTGGCCTCCCCTCCGAAGCGCTTGGCTATCGCCCTGGACACGGGGACGTACGCCATGGGGATCACCTCGATGGGAACTCCCTTCTTCCACTGCTGGCCCAGAGCCTTGGAGTCCTTCCTGGGGGGGGGGGGGGGTGAGAACCACATTTAAAAAAGGGAGACACTGCAGGGGGAAAAGGTAGAAATCACCATGAAACCTCCCCAAATGATTTGTTACATTACGACCATATTGTCTTTTACTATAAGTTTTCTGATATTTTAAAATGCAAATTAAGCATTTTCTTATTAAATCTCTATGTAAAAAAATATATATTTCAGAATATAGATAGGAAGGAAACTGTAAAATATTGTGTTGTAAGTCCTAATAGTGTAAGGAAAAAATATATTTAGAGAAAACAGCCTATAAAGATATTTATAATATACTTCTTTTGTTGAGTTAAACTAGCAAATACTAACCTGTAGTCTGCGATGACGACGAAATGTTTAGCACAGCCGGCTACGATCTTCTCCTGAGTCAGGCAGCCGCTGAGAGACAGAGGGCGAGAGTGAGACAGAAACCAGAGGAGAGGCTAAGTTCTGCTGCGTATATTAAACTGTACTCACCCTCCACCTTTTATCAGCGTCAGCTCTGCGTCCACCTCGTCTGCTCCGTCTATCGCCACGTCCAGCTGGGTGGGAGGAACGTCATGTATTACAGAAGACAACAAAGCTCCACCATTCAGGTATTTCTTTGCATTTTCACAGAAATCCTTTTCAAAATGCTCCAATTCAAGCTGACAGGGTTTAAGCATTGACTTATTGTGGCCCTTTCCTCATTTCCGTTTCTTTCAGATGTATTTATCTAACTCATCGCACCTCTGGGTGCCTGTCCAGATCCGACAGTGTGAGGCCGTGCTGCAGGATCAGCTGACGAGCCTGTGGGGGGGGAAAATACAGAAAAAAAATGTGAAAACCAGGAGAAAGGAGACAAAAAGCTGCATTCAGATTTTGTATTTTTAAAGAACATGAAAACAGTCATTATTAATGTTGGAAATGCAAGTATGAATGCATCTTCTCTTGCAAATCCATGTGTATTCATCTTAGACAAAAAGAAAGAGTGTGTGTGTTTGTGTGTGTGGCAACAAAGCCACAATGTTACAGTACATGCTGTTGACAAATACTGTGCATGCACCATTAAGCCACCAGGATGAAAATAATTAGATGTCATGTTGTTCTAGTCTTAGTAAGAGACTACATATCGCACACCGACCTGGAAGGAGGTGGGCACACACACGATGTTCAGCTTCTCCTCACGCACTCTCTCAGCTGGAAGAAACCACACACACAGTTAAAAAGAATAATGAAGGTGTTATATTGATACATTCTACATTTTAATATAACAGTGGTCAAGTTATTGTCTAAATAACTTGGGTGTTATTTTGAGACATCAGCTGCCTCCTGTATGACTTCATGATGGTTTTACTCACCTAGCCTGTCCACAGCATAGACGATGGTTGATCCACTGCCCACTCCAACCACTTGGTTGTTCTATTAGAGACAGAAAATAACTCAAAATGATGCAACATTTCACAGCGGGCCGAGAGATAAACATGCTAGTCGATGTGTTGAAATGGAGCTGTAGCAATGGACACAATAAGAGGAACCGTGGAGTTTTAATATTAGGGGAAATTATGCTTTGAGGGTCATACAAGAACAAAACACCATGAACACATTCATGGTAAAGTCTGAAACAACTGCCTCAACAAATACAATTAGGTTAAAGACAATACTTTTTTATGGTTTCAAGGAATACAGTGTCACATGACCTACAAGATGGGGATCTGTAGTGGATTTTTTTTTATTTGACAACCTGTTCCCACTCTTTCTACCAGCATTTCATTACCAGTAATGCATGGTCTATTTCCTGCTCTATTTCATTTCCATTGCACCATGTTTAATAGCACTTTAAACGGCATGTATAATGTAGATTACATCAACCTAGCTTCTGTTTCTAAGGTCAGCTCATCTATTTCTGTCTGTCCATCAGTTAAAACTACACTGCCCGTCCTGCTCTTAGCTAACACATGCTGTAACATACGGTTGATATATTTAGTCCTTAATGCCGAACAAAGTTAGCCCACTATCCCGGAACAAGCATGCATAGCACTGAGCTAATTCCCTCCCAAACAGTGCATGTTAGATAAGGGAGTAAGTTAGCAAGCTAGGCTACATTACCTGGTTGTATAGTAGCTAACTTTGCTAGCATGCAGCATATGAGAACTACACATGGCTGAGGTGGTGGAAACAACAAGCTAGCAGTCTGTGGACACATTTGGTGATATTCAAATATATTTTAGACAGTTAAATGTACCTGAACGTGGTTATCCACAGCAGCATAAGCGGCCAGTTTCTTCGCCTCCTCTGCCATAATGTTAGCGGACTGAGAGAGCAGACACACGTGTTTCCTCCTGCTGGATGCTGAAGAGAGAAATCCAGCTGCGAGTTTACTGAAGGAGGAGAACACACACCCCTGTAGTCTCATGACCCGGCCCACAACACACACACGCGCCCACAACGCACACACACACACACTCTCAGGCCCACAGACGGGCCCACATGTTGACAGGTTACTCCTCTGCACCAAGACGTGAAGGGCAGACTGTTGTTTTTGCTTTAAGCCCTGTTTCTGACAGCTGGTCACCTGTCTTAACTCTTATCATATGCCTCGTAAATCTGCGGTTATCTGCGCATGTGCAGCACGGCTGTTAGATAGAAAACTGGGCAAAACAATACAACTTCAGGATAACACTAGAGAACTGTGTTTTTTTTATAGGTGATATGGGATAGATATTGTTTTTTTGGACAGTGCTTTTTATTTATTTGAACATTTTAAATACATAATAAGAGATTGACAAGAAAAATAAGTTGAGGACACCAAAAAGACCAAAAAGAAAGCATTTGTGTATTTGACAAATGTTAAATTGAATTTGTATGATATTTTTTCTTTCCTTGTTTTACTTTATTTACATATATTCAAGTTTTAATCGTCTTGAATGGTAATAGTGTAATAGAAACAATGGCTTTAAATTGTTCATATACGTGGTGGCCAACATTTCCACAAAGTTGATGAAATAAGTGAACATTATATAATTCTGATCATACTGACGGAGATCTTACCTGAGTGTGGAGCTGAACATCTACAGTTGTCCTGAGGGTGGCGCCAGAGGAACAGCCATGAAGTCAGTACTATTTTAATGGTGTATCCCTTTGGGAGCATGACTGAGCAGAGCAGTTTTTACAACTTTCATATCAGATTATGAGATTTCTTTAGTACAAAATTGACAATTTGGCCTGAGGGTGGTGCAAGATTAAAGTGTCCAAAATAAAAAAAAGAGTTTTCTTCTTCCCTTAAGAGCTGGAAATGTATGCTATAAATTTCATCACAGTAAATCTGCCAATTAGACTTAGATTGTTCTTGTGCACAACAAAGGGTGAAGTTGTAATTTTGAGCTTTGGGATACATCAGAGAGAACTGGTGCAGCTACTATAATTATAGACCTCACCCATGAGTCATGTGTTTTTAATGGGATATGCAGAAAACCCCTTTCTTCATTAAAGTAAAAGGCCAAACTTTAAGTTTATCCTTTAAAAGGGATCTGTACAAAGCCTTTGCCTTAATGAAATTAAATAAAACATGTGTAACATAATTATTTAAATCAGGAACTGAGGGTGATCAAAGACTACACACACGGGAATGCCAGTATTTTTGGAGTTCCACAATTTTATTTTTGCTTGAAGCAATGGTCGTGTTGAGTATCCCCACAACATATTGACAGTGGTGTAAAGTAACTAAGTACATTTACCTTAGTACTGTACTTCTAGCTACTTGAATTTATTCCACTCCAATACATGTACATCACAGAGACAAATATTTTACCTCTTACTGGACTCGATTTATTTGATAACTTGAGTTACTAATCATTTACATAATCAAATCATTAATACAGTGTTATTAACACATAATGTATGGTGTCCTATTATTTGAATTAAGATACACAGCTGTATATGCAATCACAGCCCAAACATTAACATTGTTTTCACCTATCAAATTATAGATTAAAATCCAGTCCAATAATCTAATATTATATATTATTCTGAAATTGGCTACTCTGCATGATGAGTACCTTAGTTTTGGTACTCCACATTAATGTTGATGTCAATACTTTTATAATTTGACTTAAGTCATGGTTTGATCGCAGGACTTTAACTTGTAACAGAGTATTCTGCACGATAACTGATACTCTTACTTGCATAGATCTTTCTGCATGTTTATATACTGTAAATTCACTCATTAGCACTTATGATCTGAGATGCCATGTAATGGTCAAGGAGAAACACAAGGAAACAGCAACATTTACATCACTACTACTTTTTATTTGGCAAACAGCTTGAGATAGTTTCTCTTTTTCAGTGTACATTATATATATATACTATAATAAACCAACACATTCTGTTTTATAACCATTTTTTCTCATTTTACATATTACAGCTTACAAATATAGCTGATCTTTTTGACAAAATTACAGTTTCTGTTCGACACCTAAATGATTATGCTATATAAAAACCCAAACATCTTACATTCATGATTAGAAAAAGTAGGCTATATGAAATCAGGAAAAGAAAAGCAAAAACACCACAGTACGCAATTTCAAACAAATCCAATCAGGAGGAGGGGAGTCAAGGTTTCACAAACGTCTGAATCTGAATATCGCTCTGAATCTGAAGTCAGGCCCTCTGAGAGAAGTTTGCTGCTATTCCAAAATCATCAGCACGGAGAAGATATCAAGGAACAACAACAATACTGTCACGTAAGAAGAAGAATGGTTAAATCTCTGTACTCTGTCCAAAGTTAGAAACTAACACCTTGCTGTGGATTATAATGGATACTTGATAAAAACTAAACTTTGCATTGCAAACTGTACATATTACTTCATACCTCACATCTCTCTCGCCAGAGCAGTTTTAAGCCTTAATCCAAAGGATTATGCAAATGTTTCCGAGCTTTCCTTTCATGCCTTGCTACCTCGGCATGAGACATCTGCTTAAATTGGACATCTTTCTCACATCTGTAAGACAAAGTTGAACAGTATGCATGAGGGAGCTGCCATTTGGACTTTGGGAAAGCAAGTAAACAGTAATAAAACCCAGCGCTGTGAATGCTTTGTTCACGGGCAAACATTTGTTTTTCTTCTTGATGTTTGAAATAATTGAATCAGCACAGAGCAGTTTTATTATAGATGAACTAAAAGTCTTAAAAATGCAACGGTTGGCTTTTGTTTCACCACTTCCGCTGTGAAACCTGAATCTCACCAGTTTTTATACACAGTATTGCTGAATATTGAGCGTTGCATTCGGTTCATTGAGAAGTTACTGTTAGATTTGTTACTCTTTTGGATACATGTCTATTAGCATTACATCATATCAAAAACCCAGATTAGACATGCTTTAGGCAAAACAGTGTCTGCTAAAATAAATTGTCTTTTTTTTGTGTTTTATTTTTTGTACTGTAGAATAACAAGATAATCTTTCCAGACGTCTGGATTTTTTACATGACAACGTTTGCAAGCATTGATCTAATCATAACATCTAAATAGAAAACAAGACCAGATTATTCTAAAACTCATCTTTGAACACTTGTTCACAAAATAAAACAAAAATAGGATGCACTTTGTTTAATCCAAAGCTCACAAATAGTTTTTTTTAAAGGTTTTTTGTAATCTTTTTTGTTTTTTTTACCTTTACCTGCCTTTCATCTTTACTACCGATGCACCAGAACGGTGTTGGACTTCGACATGAACTGGAATGACTTTGATGTGTAAACACAGCGGCACAGCCTGATGTAAGACAAGACGCTAAAATTCAACAATCAGTAACTGTGGATCAGGAATGTGAAGGAGCAAACAGAGAATTACAAACTACTTTCCGTTTCAGCATAAACACAAACAATTCTCATTATTTTACTTAGAAGATAAACTGTCATAATGATAAATAAATATTTATATTTGAATTAAACCTAAAATACTTTTTTTTTGTATATTGCCATAATATATTCTAATATATTCATAATTTGATAAAGATTTCACAATATAGTTTGGTTTGTGCTGTTGCTCTAAATAATTACAAAATATAATATATAACTGTGGAATGTTATTTTATTTTATTCAGCTGAGTAATTCCACCCAAAGCTGCATTCACATCGCTCTAACTTGTCGCCGGACATCGCTCAAATCTTTCACTGAAATTCGCTCGAATTTGTCGCCTGACATCGCTCTAACTTAAAACGATAAAGTAGCTTAGTAGTGTGGCTATGACACACACACACACACGTTCCTTTTACCTCCTTAATGAATGCTGCATTTTCTTGGAATGACTTAGAAACTATAAGCACAAGTGTCCTTCATAGTAAAAAGGGGGGAATCACAGCTAAAAGGTGCAGGAATGTAACGGTTTTCACACTGCACAATGACAGAATTACAAAGGGTACACATTTACTTTGCAGTGGTTTGAATGCAGCGTTAATTCACCCACGGAAAAGTATTTAAGTACTTGGCAACACAGTGTAAGCATGTAGAATGACGGTGTAAAAACACAATGCGAGTGTTCATGCTTACATTGTGCAAATACGCTTCTCTATAATGGCAGAATTGTTTAATACTTACACAGTATTAGTGAGTACTTGAAGCACTAACCCATAGCTTAACACACAGATGACTACACTCCAGTAAGGGTTTTGTAAAATGTGGAGGAACATGGAGGTATATGTCACTGACAGGCTGACAGGGTCAAACAGAGGGGAAACAGGGTTCTGGACTTTCCTTTTTTTTTTGGCAGAACTTTCCCAAAGAGAGGCTGTCCGTCCACATTTGGAAATAATTCCCACAGCACCTCATCTCTCTTTCTCACATCACTTCCCATTTTCCAGTGCTTCACCTGCAAGAATGTTCTTATCAGATACAAAAATCAAAATAGTCGGTATCTCTCCTTTTTGCATTGAAAAATATTTTTAAATCCGTATTTGTATTATTTTTTTTCCCTTCAAATTCCAGACGGTTTTCTTGTGGATCCAGGACTTATCTCCAGCTGTCGTTACATGTGTTGGGCATCCATTATGTCCAAGTATTTGGCCTCAATGATATGAGGAAGCACGTTGTTCCTAAACACAGAGCAGACAGAATCAATGTCAGTCGTTTCTTGTTAGAGCAGCGCAGGGAGAGAAAGCACGAGGAAACAAAAGCCCCAACCATCAGAATGTCAGATCTTATCTCACAAGATGTATCACTTTGCTCTCAGTAGTAGCAGAGAACAAGAGATAGGATCAGCGTTACAGTGGTGGCTGGTGTGTACTTTTGTTGTGTGCACAAAGGCACTATACTGTAGGTCTGGAAACAAATGAGTCTTCACACTCAAAAAGTACTTTAAAGGGGCCCTATTATGCTAACTTTCAGGTTCATATTAGTATGTAGTGTCTCTACTGGGACATGTCTCCATGCTTTAATGTTCAAAAAGCTCTTTATTTTTCTCGTACTGCCTGTGCTGCAGCACCTCTTTTCACCCTCTGTCTGAAACCAGAGCCTGGTCTGCTCTGATTGGTTAGCTGGCCGGCTCTGTTGTGATTGGCCAACCGCTTGGAGATGTCCCACCCCTTAGCCTATCACGTACATGTGTTGGAGCGCTAGCCAATAGAAGCGCAAGTGTTACATAGTGATGTCACTATGTTACAGAAGTAAACAAAGGAGTTAAATGTAGGTGTTTAAGGCAGGGAGTCGGGGTGTGTGGGAGGAAAACTCTCTCTGGAGGGATATTATCTCTTGCAGACCATTTACATGCACAAACACCTTTATAACACAGTACAGGAAAGAGAAAACCCAAAAAACTAAATGGGGCCTCTTTAAAATGCAGTACAATTATGATTGTAGCTATTGTGACATCAGAAAAGACCAAACTGTGATCTCTGAATTAAAGTTGCTCAAGTCACTAATTTAACAAAGATAAAATGACCAAGTGTATGCAAATGGTTTTGTCGTGGTTTCAAAGAATTATCACCACACTCTAAAGTCTAAAATATAAGCAGCTAAAGAATAAATATTCCCCTCAGGAGTTGGTTGGACCGATACAGGAAGGTGAAAATAAAAGTGAATATTTTGACTTATATTCACCACAAACACAATTTCTAAATGAATACTGATATTGCTCATTGTCTGCTAAATGTAAGGCAACTGTAAGCATAAGTTACAATATATCAGGTGTGTGTTTAATGCCCCAAGTGCACAAAATAAAAGAAGCACGATTTTAATTACCAAACAGTTAAACTCAATAATAGTTCAAGAGTATTTTGGAGAACAGAAGTCCCTCTGGTTGGATGTTCTAGTTATTTATTTGTACTTCTGTTGACATAATAGCTCCTCACTGAACAACTTTATAGCACTTTAATTGCAACCAATAAGCCATTCATAATCTGCAATAGATGTGATGTTTCCACTAGAAGAATAATGATACTCCTTTAATCAGGCGTGCATACTGCTAAATATGGGCTTTAAATAGAATCAAATGAAATGTGTGGAAACGTGTGTTAATGATGATTATTATCTGCATAACTAACATGCAGGAAATCACACCATATTGTCACAAATATAGGAAAATACAGAAGCTACTTTTCTTTACATTTTACAAGTTTTTCTAGACCAGAGCATCATTTTTTATTGAAGGTATTCCGCAAGGAGTAAGGAAGAAGGAGAGTGTGGTGAATTATTCTGTGAATTCACAAATAGCATATATAATGCTGTTGGATGTATGGCGTGTATGTTTCCCGCTGAGACAACATGTAGAGCATATATACATTTAATGAGAATTAGAAAAATAATTCATGAAAAATATGTGAAATGGTCTAAGGCTTCAGCTTCTTTAAAAAGTATGACTTTTTGACATTAAACTTAAAGTGGACCTATCATGCTATATTTGAATGATATATTGTAGGGCCATACCTATATAAGGTATATTTATACGTTTTCTTTTTCAAAATACCAAACAGATCATGCATTTTAGCCATGCCTCATTTCGCTCTATTTTGCTCTCCTCCACCCTGTCTTTCCATGCGCTGCAGCTGACCACGCCCCCCTGCAAAGGAGGGGGCCGAGTTACGAGCGTCATGTTACCATGCTGTTACCATGCCACGGCAACCTCTCATTCCCCTGATTGGTGGAGAGTTGGCCATATAGGCGGAGCTCCTCGTCACTTACGTCAGACTATTTTCAAATCTGGATCAGTTTTTATCAGATCCGTTGCAGCCCCGTTTTTAGAGATTTTGGGTATGGAGGAAAAGAGAGAGGGTTGTGTTTTCTGACACTTGGTGAGTTCCCTGACACTGTATAAAAGACGTACAAAGGTGCATTTTGCATGATAGGTCCCCTTTAAGTTATATAAAAAGAAAATGTGACTACAAATAAATGTACCTTTAATTGAAAATAAATCAAAATTTGTATCGTCACAAAAGGTGCTATTTAGAAGGATTGGTTTAGTCAAAGATAGGTACATCCACATTTTCCTGAGGATGAAATCATCCAGACTGAGGTCAGACAGCACTTGTTAAATGTGTGCTGCTGAATCCTTCCATCATTGTTTAAAGTACTTAAAGTAGTAAGTAAACAACTATTTTCTAACAATGTTCCTGATAAATAATCGCGTGTATGAGGCTCACTGGCAGTGAATGTAGGGGATTACTTTAGTCGTTGTTATTGTTTGTTTGTGTTCTTTTTTCTCTTTGTACATACCATCAGTACAGACCACTGTCTCATTTTATGCATATATTTTGCTTTCCATCTCTAAATGACAAACCTCATCAAAACACAATACAAATATTTTTGATCAGTAAAAACGATTTTCTGGGGCAAAATGGCCGAGGTCGTACCTGATTGGAATCAACATGATCATGAGCAGAGGGAAGATCATCTTCATGTACGGGATGGGGTACATGCCGAACGTGCAGAGCACCAGCAGCTGCATCATCTGCAGGAAGGTGAAGTAGTGGATCTTCCTCTGGGGCACTTTGCGGATGTAGTGGGTCGGAGGGTAGGAGGTCTGCAGGAGGAGAGGATCGGGAGAGATTAATATTCAAACTGAGGACCTTTCCTGTTCTCATGTCTCCTGCTGTCTCAGGGAAGAGGACGGCCCACACACCTTCAAGAAGTGCACAGCGGGGTTAGATCATAAATAACACTCAGTGGGCTTTATCTGATGAAGTGTATTTATAGCGTGAGGGGTCTCCTGTGTGAGTGTGTGAGGCGGGGTGCAGGAGAGAAGCGGCTGAATCTATTTTAAAACCTGAACTCCTAAAGACTTTTATGTAAAAATACACTGTCTTTGTTTTCAGTCTGGGTGTATCAGAAACAAACTCATCTCTTCCAACTGATCCAGTGTCAGGTATGAACAATTGCAACAACAGGAGTTGATGAATCAAAATTCATCACACATCTGACAGTCCAACTATTTCACCATGTTGTCTATCATTTTGGAAACATTACTTATTTGTTATAGGGCTGTCACAAGCAGATTTTCCATATATGATTATCGTGGCCATAATAATTCACAATTACGATATTATTGCGATTTCTGTAGAACATTTTAAAATAAATGTTTTTGATCAAATTTCTTAAATGTAGTCATGATCATTTTGTGTAAGTATGTCCACATAGGGAGCTGGAGAAAGAATCTTAAATGTATAAAACCAAGACTGAAGACTCTCAACAGTGGAGGTCTTTAAATCTGTCTCAAACTAAATAAATGTTATGAGTCACAGGCTGTTAACTTGCCATCTTGTATTATTGACATTATAGTATGTAAAGAGTTTTTTGTTATTTTACTTAATGTAGAATAGTTTGCTGTTTAATACATCTATGTGTATACATTATTCTGCACGGTGGAGCTCAAACATCCAGGTGAAGTACCAATAACCAAAATACATTTGGAACAAATACCTCTCACTGCCATTTGGAGGCGCCGGTGTGTGAGGTGTACTGTTAGAAGGACTTTTTTTTTTCCAGAAGGAAGGTTAAATCGGACACAGAGGAAAATAGACACAAGAAAAATATTATTGTAGATTTACTTTTTGGTAAAGTACAGTATATTGCAAATATTGTTTGTTATATATAACAATAGAAGAAGAAAGGGTCAGAAAATAACAACCTTAAATGATGAATGTTCATTTATGAGCTGATCTGTTTCAATTCACTAAACCCACCTGGTATTCAGAGTAGATTAAAACAAACAACAATTATATTTGCAAATATCTTTTGGCTCAGATCCGGTCCTCCAAATCCAGTCTACCGTTTGATGTGCAGAGTCCTTCATATGGCCAAACACACACATGTATTCCCCCCCCCCCCCCCCCCCCCCCCCCCCCCACACACACACACACTTCCTCACCTGCTCCTTGAGGAGGAGAGCCATGCGGTCGCACATCTGGTTTCCGTCGATGGAGGTGAGGGCTATGTAGAGGAACAGGCCGTACAGGACGGGTTTGGGGATCCACTGCAGCGGCAGGGGCAGCAGCAGCACTGACACGCCGATGAAGATGTTGGCAGCCAGAGACGTCAGCCGCGTCTCCTTCACCTGGACGATACTGAGGAGACACACACACACACACACACAATAACACACACAGATGAACGCTTACTGGAGCGCACATGATTGTTTAATACAATGCAACAGGCAAGGTTTTTTTCCAAGGTTTTCTTATCAGTGTTCCTGCACATTTTCCATTTGAAAAATCACAATTTTCCAGGTGACATTTCTTGGAGTTTGAGGGAAATATATTAGCCTTGGACTCATTTACAGAAATATGTTATATCATGATTTCTAAGGTCTTTTCACCGACAGGCCTTGCTCACACAATGAAACTCGTCCTTGGAGTTATGAGCTATTATGGCCCAATGGTTCATTATGTTGTTCGTAGTCCATGTGTCTGTTTTCAGCATCTTTTGACAATCATCATGTTCACTGGGCTCTGGGATTGAGTTTATATGAACTCCTTGTCTTAACCAAGTCAAGTGATGTGTTGTGTAGTACAGTCACTCAAAGATCAATAAGCATTCTATTTTGATGATACAATGTAGAGTTGAAGGTTTTGTATTGTCTGGTGAATTGCACAAATTGTAACAGAAAAGTCCATCCTTTTATTATTTCCAGAGAAGAGTGAAGGGAGTAAAAGCAAAATAATTCATATAAGTGTTGGTTCTTAAAATGTACTGTAGGGATAAGACCCACAAAGAAGTGACAAGATACATCTGTGAGGTTCCAAGAAAATGTTCTTATTTTAACCATCAGTATCTGTTCAGGCGTCTGACAAACGATTTGGATAAAACAATCTTAGAAGGGACTTTAGTTGAACAACTCATGAACATACAGTTTGCAACAAACGGGCTAGCATGTGTCAACCCCAGGCTTCATCCTAAAGGAGACTTTTGAGGTTTAGGCTCCAAAACTGATCTGAAAGGCTCTTTAGACCATGTAAATCAGCTAAATATCCACCTGATTAGACTTGCATATGACTAACTTAAGTGGGTATTTCACGCCTTCGTCGTTATTTAATTTGTAGTTGTTCTTGAAATGCAAAGTATAAGTACGCTCAATTCCTTTTCAAAAGTTGACATTTCAAAAAAGGTTGGGAACTTTTCTTTACATTACCACTTATCATAGACAATCATATATGTACATTTAGAATAATAAGTTCTGGACATATGCATACATTCAAAACCCTTAATTGCATATTTTCTTTCAATCAACATTTGTTATTAGATCTCTTACAGAAGATTGTGCCTTGTGCATTATTATCACACTTGATTACTTGAAGAATCCTTAATATATGCTAACTTTGGCCGTAATGATAACCTTAATCCTCTCATCTCTTGAAAGCCCCCCCACCTTTTCAACCCGGAGACAAAATGGTTATACATTATTACATAGTAATCATGCAATCAGCTAAGAACAGGATACAGTAGCCTGCGACACAAAATCACCGGTCACCGCGTGCTCTGAGGACGACCTTTAATTGAGCGTCTGATTAGCACCGGCGATGAGGTAACTCACGTCTCGTAGAGGTGCCCTCCCTCCACACGCTGCTCCACGAACGCCAGCTGGCGCACATGGAGGGTGGAGTGGGGGAAGGCGGCGTGCATCCAGGGCAACCCCAGCACCGACATCAGGATGTTAATGAGCCCAGAGAGCATCAGGTCCCAGTGATACGCCGTGCCCTTCAGCAACCTGCGGAGCAATGCAACCGTTAAACTCAACAACAACAACAACAACAGGCTAAACCACCACAACTCACCCACATGAGAACACTAACATTATCTTAGTTTCTACTTTACTGGTTGCGGTTTTATTTAGAAGTTTTCCCAAAGTGCGTCATATCTGTTTTTGCTTCCCGTCTTTGTTTGTTTTCCCGACTATTTTGAATGTCTTTCCTGGCCTTATAAGTTCCATATTATCACAATTAGCCCTGCAACCACCTGAGTCCTAAAACCTGTACATTTGATAGTATTTTCCCACGTCTAGTCCCCTCGTCTTAAAGTCAATACATTTTTTTAAATGTGTTGTTGGTTAGATGCTTGAAAAACGTCTGTAGTTTACACAAAATAAAGATATCTTAACATTTTGTCCAATAACATAAAATATGTCAGTGAATACACTCGTGAATGTCCGAAAATGGCCATCGCAAACAAGTGATTAAATGAGGCTACTAAACGTCATCAGCCCGAACATTAGCAGCCTTTAGATTAGTGGTGGTGACACGCAGTCATGTAACCTTGATGTAGTTAGCTTATATTATAAGCCAACTAGACTAATGTTAGCCTTTTACTTCTGGCTATTGCATTTTTCACTTCAACATAGTGGTGTTAATATGTGGAGGCTATACTGCCTAACAATACCTGTAAGTATCAAACATGAGCACATGTGACACACAAATTCAAAGGGCATCAATCTCCTAAGATTAGCGTTGCCCTTCAATACAACCGGACTACAATTGCTCATATCTCTCACTAACTCATTCAACAAATAGGAAATCAATGGACATGTCTCTCGTGTTTCCATAACTCCAATATATAAAACATATGTAAGTGACATTGAAGTAACTGTACATAAAGGGTTGACCTTGCGATCTGATGCCACAGAACATTTGTCTGCACAATAGAGGAAAAGAGGGTTGTTTTCTTACTATATAGTCTCTAAATCCCTAAATAACTTAGGATAAGACTAACCAAGCTTCATTCTGACCTATTTTCCTTCAGTGGAAACATTACTGAATGTATGATGATCTGCATAATAATGACTAATATTTTAAATGAATAAATTATGACAGAAAACAAAGAAGTGATCTGGTGCAGGTGTGGTTCGATAAACATCTTATTTCCAGATACAAAAATGATGTCGTGCAAATCAAAGGATGCATTAGTCAAAAGAGAGCAGGAACAGAAATAGCCATCGCTGTTTTCCGCTTCTGTTCTATTGTTAGGTACACATGAAAGAAGCAGTGAAGATTGAATACAGCAACTGTGCTTACAAACCTTTTTGATAGGTGTTACATCAACTTCTATTTTCTTTACATATTGTGACAGCGTTAAAAAGATCGGCATGCTTGGAAATCACTTTGTTTTTCATGCTATAGCAACCGTCGTCCTGCCTTCCAGTGAAATCTTCCCCAAACTTCCAGATCCAATTAATTTCTGCCGAACAAATGTCGATGCTAAGGGTGGAAATGTCATCATTATAGATTTCCACTGTAGGGCTGCTCTGAAGTGGTCTGTCCAATGCACATTTCAGAAGAACAGGGTGAAAAGCTCAGCGTAGTGTTTTGGCTCTGAGGCTTCTTCAGAGCTCCCTGACTGTGAACATTTGACTCAGATGTCAAGTTTCTGCTTCAGTTAATCTCCCCTCCCAAACAGACCGGCAAATATCCGGTTTCTGCACATCCCCAAGGTCTTTGGTGGCTTTTCAAAGGGCCATAGAAAGAGTTTAAACCAGTAATTGCATGAGATTATAATCCCAGGATTCACCCTCACTATTTCTTATCATTTTGGACAGAATCGACAGTTATCTACTTGTAAATAAAGTCACGACAAAAAGTCATCATAGGATTAACACATGATGCATTCTTGGTCAGGATTCTTCTGTATATGAAGGCATGTTTGTCTCTACCTGTTCTCTGGCGCATTGGTCAGCGAGACGACGATGTTCTGGTCGATGAAGATGAGGAGGGCCAGGAGGAAGCCCAGGCCCATGGCGCTGACCACGTTGAGGGCCGACAGACGCTCAAAGGGAGCCACCCTGAAGACGGGCCGGTCATGAACTTTAAAAACTGGAACTGTTCACAGAGTAAGAGAAGAAAATTACAACTTGAGCCAAAAAATGATTAGACAATTAGTCAAATACTCAATCAACAGAAGATAAATGCAGATATGTAAGGATTAATTATGTATTTTACTTGAATAAAATAAATACTATGGTCCTACAATATTCTATTACAAGTACAGTACTTTCTACCACTTGATAAATGTCAACTATTTTGATAACATTTTATAATTGTAGTCATTTTTTATTCAAAAACCTCAAAAATTCCAGCTTCTTAAATATGAGGATTTGCTGTTTTCGTTCATTAATAATTAGATACATTTGCTGATAATAGTGGGAAATAATCCTTGGCTGCAGCCCTAATTACACCTTTGAGTTTTAATGAGTTCTTCCTTTGTTAGATAACTGTAGCTTAGGGCATGACCTACTTGATTACATCTCTATGATAGCTCAATTATAAGCATCAGTTTCTTTAGTGGACTTTAAATGGTGACAGGAATGTCATTTTGTCAATATTATTTTGCTTTAAATTCTCCATCAGTACTTCCCAGCTCCTCAGATTCCATCTTCACTAACATAACTGTCTCTGTTACTGCTGTTATGACTCACGTTTCACACCAAAAATCATTTCCTGTGTTTGGCGCTCTCTTTTTCCCTCTGCTGTAGATCTCATTTAGGGCTGTATCACCTCAAATGCTGCTGAATTAAGTGCAGCTGGTTACATTTAGGAGGAAATGACAATGCAATAATGGGGTTATTATCTTATGACTTATTGTCTCTGGAGGTAAAGGAACAGAAAATTGGCCCGGCACTTAAATTTAAATTCACTTGAGGGTTTGGCGCTTGTCTCTGTGTTTCTGCGTCCGACCCCTGGAGAACAGCTGCTGCCTTGGCAACAATGAATGGAGACTCAAAAATGATGCTTAACAATAGAGGATAACAACTGACTATCTCCCATGTGGTTTGGCCTGTGCCTTGATTAAAGAACATAAAAAGACAATAAAGGCACCAAATAGAGGAGGCCCTGCAGATAGACAGTCTGTTTTGGAAGTAAACACACAACAAGTTTGGGCCCTTCACCAGATTTGGACCAGAGTCCGAAGCCCTAAAGTGAATACACACCCCGAGCAAAAAAGATATAGCTGACTAGCAACCACTAACAGCTTCCTTACAATTACTTTCCCTAATTTTTCATATTTAATGCAATGTTGTGAATCAAACAAATGCTGTGCTTTGATCGAGGGTACAGATTTGTCCTATGTGTTACAATGAACTCACATTATGTAAGTTCAAAGAAATGTTAATGCACATGCAGATGTTATAAATCAACTATTCTTTCCCTAAGACATGTTTGCCCTAGTTAACATTACAGTACACAACTGCTAATCACTTCATTATTCATTAAGAGCTGTGAGGAGAAATATGTGCCTGTGCATGTGGCGTCGAGGGGGGGAACAGATATTGACTGTAATAGTTCTGAGAAGTTCTGTATATTTTCTGCAAAGACAATTGTGAAGATTTATGCATTGCCAATCTTTTGACTCACATTCAAATCTCTTCAATGATGAACACAAAGATGAGCTTTTAAATATAACATATTTAATGGGGCCTTATTGCGCTTTTGGGGGGGTTTCTCTTTCCTGTAGTGTGTTATTTATGTTTTGGTGCATGTAAATGGTCTGCAAAGGCTAAAATCCCTGTGTTCCCTCCATGAGGAGTTTCTCTCCCACACACTCCCCCCCCTGCCTGAAACACCTCCATTGGACTTCTTTGTTAACTTCTGTAACATAGTGACATCACTAGAATATGAGGTTGGCTTTTTTATAATGCAATACATTTAGAAATCAAATCTGAATTAGAGACATGTTGTTCAAAATTACCATGTGAATGATTTGATCTTACAATGTGTTACAATGTCACTTTTTGCCGTGTTATGACAGCTGGGGTTTAAAAAAATCTGTAAAATATATGTACTGTATATAATCTAATATATGTATCTGTATCAAATCAAATCAAATCAAATCAAGTTTTATTCATATAGCACATTTATAAACGATTTTTGGTCGAGCCAAAGTGCTGTACAAATAATAAAAATACTCTACAGTAAAGACATTTTACAGCTAATACAACAGCACAGTTTGATCAGAATATCAGTATGAGGAAAAACGACCCACTCTGTCCTTAGACCCTCACATCATACAAGGAAAAACTTCCGGAGAAAAACCCACAGTTTAAAGGGAAAAAATGGGAGAAACCTCGGGGAGAGCAACAGAGGAGGGATCCCTCTCCCAGGACGGACAGATGTGCAATAGATGCTGTGTGTAAATCGAAGAGATAATACGTTTTACAGCGTAGGTAGACCGAATGTTAGGAAATTCATGTGTCTATAATAAGAAGATGAATCCACGAGGATATCAACAACAATTGTATATTGCATACCGATATAAAACAGTATAACTAGACTGCAGTCCCTTTAGCATCTAGAAAGTAAGTTATGATACTTACGGTCAATGTCACTGAAAATGTAGGAGCCGATGAAGGAGAACATGAGCACTGAGATCGGCAGAGCGCAGTCCGACATCACCTCCCTCACTTTGACATGCAGGAACGGGCTGAAAGAGAAAGGGAGAGAAAGAAAGAAAGAAATTAAGAAAGAGGAGAGTGAGCGAGGAGAGACAAATAAGAGAGGAATACAATTACTTTAGACAAGACAAGGACAATGGCTGCAATCCTGACACTGCTTAAGTACCTCAGTCTGCCTTTTGCTTACACAATTGAATCCGGCTTTGAGGTTGATTTGATTACTGGGGGCAATCAGAAGTAGAATATTAATGCTTATTAAATCATAGGCTGGAACAGAAGCTTTGAGCTTTCTGAGAGCCCGTCTGGAAAGTTCCTGAAAGCACCGTCACTCCAGATAATCTTTAGAGTCTCAGCAGTGTCTCAGCAGTGTCCCTACGAGATCTCACCCAAACAAGATTGAAACTCCTGCGGTGATTTATCTGAAGAGGGTGGCAGCGCTGCACGTACCTCCTTTTGAACTGGTACAGGGTGTAGCCCATCCATAACGTCCCGAGCATCAGCAGCATGCAGAGGAGCGGCCTCTCTCGAGTGCAATGGATGACGGTTTCGGGGAGGGCGTTGAGAACGTATCCCGCCGCCATCTCGCTCCTGTTTCCCCCGAGCAGATCTCCAGCCTGAGGGAGGATCTGTACGGTTGTGTTTCCCAGCGTCGGTGGGTGGTAGTACCTGAGAAAGACTGAACATCCACAGAGTCTAGTTAATCTAGTTTAGCCATTCTATTAAATATGGTAATAAATATAACAGACAGATTGCCATTAAATGTTAGATATTCATGGTTCCCAGAGGATGAATCCTAGTGATTTTCATATACCCTGAAAGACATTTCTAGTTTGTTTTAACTCCCTAATGAAATACTACCCTGTTTGTATACTCGCTACATTTTGTTATATCAAATACTTGCAAAACATACCTCCTGGAAGAAATATTATTTGCCAACAAGCAGCCTTAAAAACAGATTGCGTATTTCATGCTGCAATCCCCATAGAAAGATAATCTAAAATATTACATTAAGGGATACTGCTGGATGAAGAGACATGGAGGACAGGGACCGCTAGAGAAGAGAAAACCTCATAAAAGTGAGATACACCTCAGCTGAGCTGTGGCTCTGCACTGAAACCTGATCAACTGGATCATAACAAATATTCACTGAAGGTAGAAAGCACTATTTTCCTATTTTACTATGTCTTTGTACATTCACACACAGTAGATATAGGAGATCATAGTTTTAATGAAAATGAAAGGCAGTGACTGGATCAACAGTCAATCTGTTAGATTCCTTAAATGACGATAAATTATTTTCTGCCACTAGGGGGCTCTCAAAGGATGAGTTTGGTGGCGTCGCAGATAATTGGAGTCATTTTCACAAAAGTCTCCTTTTCTCCAAAACAAATGGCATCTATGAGTGAATCAGGTCAACACAGTATAACATTCATTGTGTTTTCTCTAACAGAAACAGGGTGGAACGGCTGCTAGCTAAAGGCTAATGTTTTCTCTGATTGTTTATCTGACAACTTGAGAGCTAGATGTTCAAGAGGTTTTTGATCAAGAGCTGAAATATTCACAGTGTCATCCTCTCCGAAATAACATACCGTCATTAAAAGTGTGTGGCAGCTAGTTTGCTTAGCATGTTATGTCTGTTAACTAAAGATCCAGACATCCAATTACTAAAATCTAGCTACAATCTTCAGTTAATAACGACCAGGATCTAAAAGGTGTATCGTCAAAATGTGGCTGACGATAACCGTGGCGCTACACTAAAGGGATGCTTCCTAGTTCAGGTGGCCAAATAAAAACTGTTGCTGTTCATTTTAAGGATATCTTTCATTTTAACATATAACATTGGTGTAGTCTTTTCTTTTTTTTATGCAGGAATTGAATGTACTGTTATGTAATTGTGTAACTTTCAACATCTGTATGATTTATCTCTGTGCTGGCTGTAGGTTATTGAACTTAACCAATGACATTTATCCTGATACCCTTATTAGATCTACAGGATAAACAACTCTTGTAGATCTAATAAGTGAGCATCATGTTGAAGGTTGGGATGTTAAACTACAGTACATATGCTTTTAGAACTATTGTAAATAACAACCTTGTGTATAACAGTAGAAACCATTCTGATCAACACTTTTTTTGCAGAGAGTGAAACGACCTGCATGCGGCTCCTTCTGCATGCCGTTTCATCAAACCAGAAGAAAGTTATGAGGCAAACGAAGTTGTACAGGAGACTGGTAACACACTCATATTCATGGTACTGCAAACTATTTTGGATGGAAAGTGTACACAAAATGGCATAGGTTAATGTTATGGTAATGGGATATGAGCTAGGAGCGTATTCTACAAATGGTTTCTGAAAATTGAACTACAGCGCCAGCAATCTCCACGACTACATCGCGTTCAAAAATAAATTACATCCAGCTATCGTCATCTCATTTGTCGCAAATTAAATTGTATAAAATATTTATGATATCGTGCAGTTAAGGCGGGAGAGGGGGTAGTTTGGCTGCAGGCTGGGTTTGAAAGCTGGATTGATTCATTTACTACGAAGTATCTCTGCCTCTCAGTCTGCTGAACCACCTAAAAAACTCTGCTTCTTACTTTTAATTGGACAAAATACTCATTTATTATACATGCAATAAACTTGAAAACAATGACTGCTTATTTTGATAAGTTAATAAATCAAATGGTTGCTTCTTGGCTCTCATGTATGGTTTATTTTGAGAGAATTGTCTATCCTGCACCACTATAATAACCAAAAGCATGGCTTGTTTTTCAATAATTACTGGGTTTATTGAATATAAATTACAGTGTTCATCTGCAAACAGACGATAATACGGAAAAATAACAAAGGACATTTACAATCAAATTGACTAAATGATCAGTTGAAGAGATCTAATTAGCATCAGTCAACAAAGAATTCTCCAGTCGGGGAAACCACACTAATTAGTGAGCTGCAAACTTATATCTAAAAAGTGTGGATAATTGTTTCCAAAGTGTAAATCTGGGGCATTTTTAATGATTCTCTCTCAGTACAATTGGCTTTTTTTGAGAATGACACATGAATTTGAGGCTGTACTAGTGGAGGCTCTGACGGCAGGTATGATGCTGGAGTCAGAGCGGACTATCAAATATTGAATTGCAAAATGACAGTTATGTGGGAAAAACATAAACGGGAGACTGTGAGAGAGACATTTATGTGAGTTCATAGAAAAGAGGTATTTGCTGTGTGTTTGGGAACTTACTTTTGACTGTGCCTTTCACTGCATCCACCACAAATGCGATGGAAATGAAGAGCGCAATGACCTCCTCTGTAGACCTGGAGAAACAAAGAAACATTAATTAAGAGGCAAAACAAAACTATTGATGAAAGAAATTGTGTTGATAAAAACTAAAATTAGAAATAAATAAACATGCGTGTTTGTAGTAAGCATCCATGTCAGTTGAAAAACATCATCCTTCTTTATTGTATCCTAAAATTGTCATAATTTCTGTGTGAATTATTGAGTTATGGCCAAATACCTGCCTTGTGACATCAATGTGACCTTAACCCTTTGACCCTCAAAATAAAATCAGCGTATCCTAGATGATGTTGTTCCAAAATTGGTCTCAGGTGTTTCTGAGATATCGAAGTGCTGACCTTTGACACCCCAAATTAGACAGCGCTGAGTATTGAAGATGACATTTTAATTATTTTTCTTCCAGGTGTTTCCAAGTTGTTTTATGTTGGTGCCACTGTTGCAAAGATAACCACATTGTTTTTCACATGTTTCTAGCAGCAAATGAAGCGTTTTATGCTGACCATCAGGAAAAAGCAAGAAATATATTGAAATATTTTATAATGTGTCTCTTCCTTTGATGCAGATGAATGCGTGGTGATCAGATGTATTATGTTATCTGGCGACATTTTGAGCTAATTTCATGAAACATAAGTTAGCAACACTGCGCAGGACACACTGCATTTTGTTTTCCGCAGCTTTGTCCCGTAAATGTAGCCTTCACTTTCCCAGGAGATCACACTCAGTGGCAGACAGAATGGGATAGCGAGAGCGAGACTTACCGTATAGGGAACCAATCTAAATGCAGATGGTCTCATTACTCTACAGCCATTACATTATGCAATCAACATATATTTCAAAATTAGAAATTAATGCAGAAAATGTTTCCATTTCCCCCTCAAATATTTTGGTTTTGGCAAAAAAAAAAAAAATAGGCAATAGGGAAGCAGAAGGAACGATATAGGGAAGCAGAAGGAACGATATAGGGAAGCAGAAGGAACGATATAGGGAAGCAGAAGGAACGATATAAAACTCTGGATGTGTGGTAGCTGGGAGGAGAGCTGTCACCCTGAATCCTCTCTGAAATCTGTTTGTTGAAGAAAACAGATTTTTCCGTTGAGTGTCAGTGATTCTGCTGCAGATACTGACGTTTTAACGGCCAATTAAAAACATTTTCTGTTTGTCAGAGAAGGAAGACAGCAAAATAATTGCCTCAGAGGTATGCTTTTACTGAAATAAGTGGTAGAACTGCATG